TATATATACACACACACACGCACACATCCAGGGCTTGAAACATTTTAGGGTGTCTCACCAGCCAGTCAAAAATGTTACCAGTCAGCATGACCGGACTATAGCCTTGCAATTTATGTAACATTTTTTAGAGACAGATCGAGCTTTCTTTTGCTGGTATTTTATCACCACGGGGGGGGTTTATTTTTTGATATATAATGATAAAAGTACTGTACATTTTGGATTTTTTTCCCCCCTACGTTATGTTAAAAAACATTTATTCTTACCAATACTTTTGGTAAAATAAAAAAGACGGGATCACGTCGGGTAAATAGACAACAAATATGTCAAGCCTTAAAATTGCGCGCCCGCAAAATCGCAAAAAACGACCACACCGTAAATTGGCCATAGGCAACGCTTTTACTGCTCATCAGTTTAGTGTTATCAGTGATTAATGGTCCTGAAGTTATTGCTCTCACTCCGACGTTCGCGGTGATATATAATATGTGCAGCACAATAGGTGCAATCATCATTTTCGCACGTGGGTGCACCCGACGCATGTTTGCATGTGTATGTGGGGGGTGGGGGACTTAAAAAAATGTAGTGTTTTTTATTATGCTTCTTTAATTTTTTTAAAACTTTTTTTTATAAATAACTTTATTGCTATCACATGGGGTCTTCACCAGCTTCTGAAGCTTGAGAGTGACAGTAGAATGCGAAAGTGATGTGATCTCCTGTCACAGAGCACCGGGCACAGCGGATCTCGGGACCAGCAACGGCAGTGGCAGCAGCTGCCAATCAAGCAAGCGATCGGGCGTCTCTAAATCTGACCACCACCTTCTCCTCCTGACCCAATCAGTGTTGGCAGTTGCTGCGGGAGCATTCCCCAACCCTTTGTGACATATATAGCTGTGTGGTGGGCAATGCGGCTCCCCGCAACTGATTGTGTCAGGAGGAGGGAGGGTTGGTCAAAATTTTGAGTGGGCTTGGGCGAACTTAGGCGAACTGGGTCACACCAGGCCCAGCCTCATTACTAGCTCATATGCTGAGAAGTAGCATGTTAATATGGAGAGAAATTGGAGTGACAGAGAGATGCTTATGAGTTTTCCGCTTCTCCTTCACTGTTCAGTCACAGACTGGGAATAAGGAGGAGCCTTGTAAATGTTACTTAACAGAAGTAGAGAAACAAAGTCATCTTTCCTTCTGTGTGTTTTGTCATGTCTGGCATTGGACTTTGAAGGCCATTCAACTTATCAAATTTTTTGTCCCTCCTTTTGCCTTGTTTTTTTTCTCAGATGTGCCAATTCACCAGTTTACCGTTCACGGGAGATGGCAGCACGCGCCCTTGTTCCTTTTCTTCTGGCAGATGACATTCCTTGCACTACAGTGGAATTAATAAGGAGCCTTCCAGATTCCGTTAGCCATCTTGTACGGCAGAACCACATCCATGGAGTACTGCTACAAGTAAGTGTCATCTTATCCCTTCATGACTTTCCATTATCTGCTGATGCGCCAGACGTTGTTATCTGCTGCTACACTTTGATAACCATAAACTAAGCAATTATTTTGAAGGCTGTTTATATTAAAATACTGAGGGAAAGTTTACATGGGATTTTGATTATTTTTTTTGAACATGCTTAAAAAAATGAATTCATTATTCAGAGTCTGTGTGCACCTACAACATTCATTATTTCATAGTTGTTCTTCCTCATCTTCGGCACTCCATTTTGACATGTATGAAGCAAAAGGATCATTGTGCTTCCTATAGGGAAGTTCTTGGATAGACAATAGTGAGGTGGGCCAAGGGAATTTAAAGCCCTCCAAATACTGTACTGCTTTCTTGCAACAGAAGATATTAGGATATAAAGAATAGGTGTATCGTTGTAATAAAAAGTCAGGTTTCTACTCTTTGGAGGATGCCGTCACTGGCAAGAGACGTAAAATAATGATTTCTGTACAACAATGCCAGCCAGCAGTGGGCTTTAAGAATTGAAATAGGAAACAACAACTGCCAAATGAACACATCAAATGAAACTTTGCTGCTGAGATTATCCCTTCCAGCTGCTAATTGTGAACAAACAGTTTAAGTAGTCACTTACAGAGGGATGCAAGTGATGTCATATTAGATGTAAATTCTCAAACACAAAGTCCAATGGGAACCTGAAAAAGGGGCACTCACATATAGCTTACAGTGAACAGTTATAAAAAAAAAAAAAATTTAAATGGAAACAGCAGCTTAGTGAGCACATATGTAGCCAGTGCCTCAAGCAGCCTCCCAAGATAGATATGAAAATAGTGACTTTCACAAAGTGGCTATTTGGATTTTAGGCAGGCCCCCAACATGACCATACCCTGGCCTGCTGTTAAGTGGCTCAGACACAAGGTATTGTATTGTTGAGTGGAGGGGGTGGTGGTGGTGGGAGGCTTGTGGCCATGTCCAATCTTTGAATGGTGTCTGCGCCCCTATCTACAATAAAATGACTTTCAGCAGCTGTGCCAAAATGGGGCTCACCACCCATATATATATATATATATATATAGTGACCAAATGCACAATTAATTATTAAAGTGCATAAAAATAAAATAATGCTAATAATTATTATCCAGTAATATACGTGTATAAAATATATGCCAATCAATAATCATGATCAATATGTCCCAGTGAATAACAACTCCAAATGTCCATTTCAGTGCCAAATGTGTAAATACAATCCATAAAGTGCCTATATGTGCTCCAAAAAAGTGCTCTTGAAATCCCCTTCTTTGTGCTCCTTCCAGATGAGATGGACCATCATTAAGAAATGGTCAAAAGCACATTCAGTTTTACTTATTTTGCATCAGGCTCCTCTGATTGACAATGAGCTTCCACAAAAATCGCTCGGGTGTAGGAAAACTACCCATCCTACTAATCCACCCCTGGGGAAGTCTAGGACACAATGCATAGGGTGGATGGATATGCTGATGTCACCATGTACACCATGGGACTAGTAGGATGGGAGGTTTCTTACACCTGAGCAATTTTTTGTGCTGCTGTTTATACACCTATAATTGTGAGTGTATTTTAATGTTTATTTTAATAAAATATTTTAAAAAATGTTGGCATTATATCGTATCTAATATCGCATAAAAGGGATACCTTTTACCTATCACCAGTTTGAGGAGCCTGATGAACATTTGGAGGAGTTATTCATTAAGACTGTAGTATTGATAATGATTATTGATTGGCACATATTTTATATACATATAGATTTAAAATTGTTCTTGTACCAGTCTTGCCACTCTCCGTTCTGCCGTAACATTGACTAGTCGCTGACGGACAGAATTCGCACGTTCAGACCCAGATTTTCGGCTGACAGTCCGGTCTTTAAACACTTTAACAAGAGCTGCTCTTGAACATTTAACGAATTCTGCTGTTTTGCTGATACTCTATGGCTCCGAGCACCAACAATCATCCCACTTTCGAAGGCTGTTAAATCGCGTTGTTTACCCATATCTTCAGAAAAAAAATCACTTCTACTGTCGTGGTAAACAACCTGCTTCCCTATTTATAATGGTCTGGCCCTCTAGCAACTTCAGCGTGAAATTATAGCTAATTTGCCTACAAACGTCAGGTGGTCATAATAATCTGGCCACTCAGTGTATATAATCATTCATTATTGGAAATACTGATTTTCAGCATTATTTTATCCTTATGAACTTTATCTCTTCAACCTAATGGTAAAGAAACTGTTTTGGATGTTGATGGCCAAGCAGGTACATGTAGTTTAAACTGTAAGTGGTGGCAAACTGCTAAATTTACTGTTTAAATACATGTATGTTAAATGTCTTACCTGCAAGAAAATGTGTTATTACCTTTAACCAGTTTGTAATCCAGACAACACAATGAAATCCTTACTAATTACTCTTTTTGCATTGTAGTATACAACTTGGTTATGGCTGTGAATGGGTAGTTAAGGAGCAGCAGCTTACTGATGAAGTCATTTAAGTGCTCCATCCTCCAATCAGCAAGCTCCATTTGTTATATTCACAGAGTTGTGCAATGCAGTGAAGTCCTATTTGCATACGGTACTGCACCACTCACCCAGTGTAAATGCTGATGTGCAGGTGATTGTGTCTTCTCATCCGCAGCTGCATTTTATTATTGATATATCAGCTTAAGACCATTAGGCAGAATTCGAATATAAAGCAAAAAATATTACAGGTGTTGAGCAATATTTTCCGCAGACAGCTGACTTCCTGTCCAGGAAAAATGTTAACTGTCATTTTGTCATTGCCTAAAACGGCAGCCAGTAAAGTGAAATAGACTGTTCCACAAAGCACATGTGCTAGTCTTTAAACAAAAAACAATCATGCTTTTAGCAGGATTGTGAGAAGAAACTGGCGGGAAACCCACAGATATATGGGGAAAACATACACATGTCCATACAGAGCTTACATTTAGTAATTGCTTAGAAATTCAACTTGACTATGGCCACCTAAGATTTTGCATATGCTGTACATATCTCTTCCCGGTGCAAATATTCCTCTTCCATCAGGTGTTCTCATGTCTATATAATAGCGTACTGGTGAGTTTAAAAAAAAACCTAGTGGATAAGTAGATGCTTATCTTAGTGACTGTACTGCTATACAAAGGAACGTTTGAAATGATAATTTCACGGTGTTCTTCAAAGCTCCCGTAGCAGGGGACATCTTTCAGCAGCATTCTAGTAGAAAATAAATCCGTCTCTTTTTGCCAGCGTCATTAGCATGACACGGGGAATGTCAGCAAAGGACAGCGAGGACAGATAACATTACAGTCACAGTAACAAATGGTTTTCCTGAGATGCACATTTTACTAGTCTTGGTAGTATAAAATGTATTTCACAACACAGAATTCCTCCAGGTGTGTATCTAAAACACCTGTTGGATCACTTGTGTATTCCACCAAAAGCCACAAAACCATGTTGGGTTGGAAGTCTTCCTACTGCCTTGCTAGTTGAAATTTAGGCCTCATTCACATGGACATATGCAAGCAATTGAAGGGTCACTCCAGTCTAATAAAGAAAAACACAGTCATGAGAAGTAGTAATGAGAAGCCAAGCAATTTTGTGTCCTTAAATATACAAATTTTGATTATTATTTATGTTGTAAAATAGTAAAATTATCTAGTTGTCACAAATTGTGTAAACTTCCCTAAAGGGTTTTTCCTATTGTTCAGAGTTTACTGGTCTTTTAATTTGATCTTTGCCTTCTTGGTGTAAGTGATCCTTTCAGGACCTGTATATGAAATCCTTTAGTGTTTTCTAATGTAAGCACCACATGCTGAGAACTTTACAGATCTCATCTGTGTGACTTTTCTGTCTTTACTGCAGTGAGCAAATTATAGTGGGAGGGGCTTGTTTCCCAGCTCAGGATATATCTGTCCATTATAAGCCTGGGCTGCTGCGGCTGCTGAAATCAGCTTTTCGTCCAAACAGTATGAATTTGAAAATCACTTTTCCATATGATGGAGCAGTGCAATGTATTACTGAGCAAGCCTCCACTTTCCCAGCTTTCTAATGCCATCAGCATCTGTGTCTGATCGGAAACATCTTGGAGTGAAAGCTGCATCTTGCCTCCTTTCCCTTTTTCTTTTGCATTTCTGGGATTTTCAAAACCTATGTGCTAACTTTAATTCTATTTGTATTTTATACAGTCATTGTTAATGTCCATTCTAAGCACATACTCCAAAGCTTAGGACAGGAACAGACATTAATCTGTATGGCTGGGCCAAGCACATGGGAGCCGGGCCTGGAGAATGTCCACTGGCACTCAGGATGAAGATTCCAAAGATCACCTCCTAGCTGAGATGGATTTTGTTTGTGGTCTGCAAGTAGAGTTCCTGGACTGGTGCAGTGTGCAGAAATGAAATACATAGGGTGTAGGGTTGCCACTTTTTGGTCCATGGAAATACAGATGGGAAGGAGGCGTTGTGATGTGGTTAAATCAGCGTAATTTAGTCATAATGAAGCATAGTACATAGAATTTCATTAACTTTGTGGTAACCAAAATGGGTTCTTCCATCTGGTGGGAACTAAGGCAGACTATAACTCATCCAAAGTGCAATTTTTATTCTGAGATCTGACTATAAAACAATCTTTTTAAAGCAAATTATAAAACAAATGAGAAGAGAATGAAAGATTTTATATAGTATATACCGTATATCTTTAGGGGACTGTCTTGTTTAATGCCAGCTCCATGCACGTTAAATTTAGTGACATAGATACACTTCCAAGAAGTAAGTGTTTGTATACAGTGGGGGGAATCTATCAAAACTGGAGCAGACAAAATCTGGAGCAGATTTGCACTGCAACCAATCAGCTTCTCTGTCTCATTCTCAAATCTTACCTGAGCAAACTAAAGAGAGATGCCGATTGGTTGCCATGGGCACTTGCTCCAGATTCTGTCTGCTCCAGTTTTGATAAATTCCCCCCACTATGTGTTAC